GTTGTTATCCATCCATTTCAAAACTTCTGCAAGGGTCCTGTTTGTATTTTGCACCATAAGATCCTCACTGTTTTCTGAAACCAGTTTCGCCAAATCATCCGCATAACATATTAGCCGTACATTTTTCGGTACTTTCAAACTCAGAAGATCGTCTTGTGCTACTAAAGATGTGCTACTACCTATATCAGAGTTAGAATAAGCTGAAGCGATAAATACTGAAAAGTGTGCAAATGAATTTAGGTACATCTTCCGTAGAAGAGACTTTTCATCTTTAAAGTTATGCAATTTTTTTTTTATTATTAAGAGTTAATATAAAATTATTTTTTTATATTACTAGAAGAGGTATCTCTATATTCTGTGGCGTTTCTTGCTTTCAATTACGTAAGGAACATACGTAGGCATGCCCATTTATTATCTTGATTTCTAAATTTTAAAATTGTTCCTATTACAAATGAGAAGTAATTTTTCTAGTTCAGTGTACTTTTGCAAAACGTATCCAATCTAATATTCCAAATTTTATAGTGTTTGTTCGTGTAGACTGTTTAGAGTATAGTGTTATTATTATCCAAAACACAACATGTGGGGTAAGGAAAATGAACTAGTACCTATATTATATATACATTATATCATGCATATTTTATTAGCTTATTTAATTAAACATATTTCAAACATTTTTAACAGTGTGATCATACATTTTACAATAAATTCTGTTTAGAAAATCATTTAATTTAAATGTTAATAATAATAATAGTCTTTACTAAGAATGATTTTTTACATAATATAAACTACAATTATTATATAAATAATACTTAAAATTATATATTCTTAAGGGCGAAATCTAGCTAATCACAGTCAGCTGCTTAAATTTAACCCAGTTAAATTTGAACAGTTTTAATACTTTATACAATATGATTATGCAAATAGTATAATAATATAGATATATTAAGAATATACATGGTGGCGCCTTTTATACGCCGCGGAAGCTCCAAGGAGAACGGTAGTCTATATCGAATTGAAATTTTGGCAGCATATACATGTTAATTGAAAGCATTTTATAAAAATATATAGAATTATATAGGGTGTCCCAAAAAAGTTACACATCAAAGTTGTGTTTTTTCTAATGGAACACCCCATATATTGATTGATTCTCAGATTCTAGGAAGAAAATAAAGGTGAGTTTTATTAAAGAAGCATATACCTAAAATATAAGGATTTTGACATATTTCATATTTTGTGAAAATGAAGAGTAAATTTTAAATTTCGATAACAGCTATCTAAATTTTAGTTGACCTTGTATAGCCTGATATTTAATTACAGTAACCATTGTAGTTACACATACATTGTAAGAGACATGAATTCTCCATTGAATATCAGAATAATATACTGGGTGTTCCATTTAAAATAAGAGAGTAACATGCTTTTAAAGGTGACGAATGTTCAATATTAATTTCGTAAAAAATGTCTATACCTATGTGGCGGATTCATCTTTCCAAAAAAATCCTCTATGGGTATTTCGCCACTTCTGCAAGAAAATCTACAAAATAAAATAATTATTTTTTGTAAACACTTCTGTGTTAAATCTAAACGGACGCTGCTTGTCAGAAGTTATGTTTACGGTAATACAAATTTGCCTAACAAAGCAAAAAAAAATGCTTAACGTTTCGGAAAGTTATCTCTTTCTGTCGTTCCGTAGCAAAAAAATACAAAGAATAAAGAAAAAAACTATTTAAAATATTTAAATTCAACTATTCGAGAACACTTTACTTTTTTTAAATTAGATACGTCTACAAGAAACCGTTGACGTTCTGTTAAAATTACATTTTTAACTTGATATTTAAACTTCAAAATTAACAATTACTACCTGATAACAATTACTTAATAAGGTAAAACCAAAAAGCCCCAAACTTTCTGTATGATTATTTTTAAATTTTACGTATGTTATGTTTATTTATCTTGTTGTAGGTATCTCTTGTTCTTTAAAATCAAAGAAGCGATTGCCATACTAACATCTACAGATCTAACATCTACAGATGCATGAGCAATACATTTATTTTTATTAGATTGAATTAAAAAAGCCTCTTTTATTTTTCTTTTAGAGGCTATCGCTTCTTTCATTATAATTTTGGCGTTATTAAAATTTATTCTGTGCCCTGTGTCCCAAGAATGCTGACAAATCTGTCAAACGATTTGTGAAAATCTCCCTTTCTTAAATAATCTTTATATGTTCTTTAATTCTAACATTTAAGGGTCTAGATGTTTCACCAATGTAAAATTTATCGCATTCACAGGGTATTTGGTATATTACATTTTTTGTTTGTTGTTCAGTATTTATTCGTTTAGTATGTTATAAAATGGATCTAAGTGTATTTTGTGTTTTGAAAGATGTTCGTATGTTATATTGTTTTCCTATCCTTCTTATTTTTTCCGAAACGCCTCGTATGTATGGAATTGTAAGTTGTATATATTGTGTATTGTTATCATTGTGTCTATGATTTGGGGTTTGTATTTCGTTTAATGTTTTGTCAATAAAATATGGTGGATAGTCGTTTTTGATTAATATATTTTTTATGTGGTTTATATCTCTATTTAGTGAAATGTCGTCTGTACATATTATTTTTGCCCTATCATATAAACTTTTTATAACACCTTTTTTACACTTATACTGTGATTAGATGTGAAATTTAAGTATCTATCTGTGTTTATGGGTTTTTCTGTAAACATCTAAAATTAGTTTATTTTGAAACTTTGACACTAAAACATCAAGAAATGGCAAACGATTACCTCTCTCTACTTCTAAAGTAAAATTTATGGTAGGTTCGCGAGAATTTATATAATCCAAAAAATGTCTATTTTCAGAAACGTTATGTTGCCATATTGCAAAAATATCATCAACATAACGCAGCCATATTACAGGCTTTTTGAAAACTATTTATTGTATTATTTTCAAAATCTTCCATAAAAATATTACTTAACAAAGGAGAGAGAGGTGATCCCATTGCCATACCGAAATCTTGTTGAAAAAATTCATTATTTAATTGGAAATAAGTAGTTTTAACACAAAGTGTCAATAATTCCAAAATACTATCTATGTTTAATTTTGTTCTATCTATTAAATGTGTATCTTGTTGTAATCTATCACTATTTTAAGTTAAGTGATTTATCTACCGGCACATTAGTGAAAAGACTAACAACGTCAAAACTAACCATTAAACTGTTAGGTGTTATATTAATTTTTGAGATTTTTTCTATAAAATGTGGTGTGTTTTTAATGTATGAATCGGTGTTATTTGCAATCGGATTTAATATGTCTAGTAAAAATTTTGCTAACGGATGGCATGGAGAATTTATACTACTGACTATAGGTCTAAAAGGTATACCCTGTTTGTGTATTTTCGGTAAACCATATAAATGAGGTGGTTTACTGTAATGGGGTGTTAATAATGTTCGTTGTAAGTCTGTTAATATATGTTTGTATTTGTATAAAGTTCTGTATATTTTTCTTTCAATAGTTGGTGTTGGGTCTTTTGAAAGTTTTGTGTAACTACCGTTATTTATAAGATCTGTAATTTTGTTATTATATTCGTCTAAATCTATAACTACTATAACTAACTATATTCGTCTAATCTACAATACTTAGCATTACCTTTGTCTGCTTGTAATATTTTAATTGTTTTGTCTGTTTTTAAATGTTTAATAGCTAACCTTTCTTCTCTATTAATATTAGGTTTAAACTTAATAGGTCTTTCTAGAATAATTTTTGACCTAACACGATATTCATCCGCGTGTAAAGGTAATTTTTGTGCTATATTTTCAATAGTAGAAGCCAAATCTAATTTTGAAAACTTTTTATTAATTACGCTAAAATTTAAACCTTTTGATAAAACTGATTTTTCAGAGTTAGATAAAACTCTTTTAGAAAGGTTAACTACGGTTAACAGAATTTGTATTACCGTAAACATAACTTTTGACAAGCAGCGTCCATTTAGGTCTAATGCAGAAGTGTTTACAAAAAATAATTATTTTATTTTGTAGATTTTCTTGCAGCAGTGGCGAAATACCTATACAGGATTTTTTTGGAAAGATTAATTTCGTCTCTCCCTGTACAACTTCTTGGACCAAGTTTTAATTTGATTTAAAGTACAATAGTTAATTTAACTACATATTAGGCTATACCGGGTGAATTCCAATTTAGGTAGCTTTTATTGTAATTTAAAAATTGTTTTTTATTTTTAGAAAATGTTAAATATGTCAAAAACCTTACATTTTAGTCATATACCTACTTCTGTCATAAAACTCACCTTTATTTTTCTCCCAGAATCCGAAAATCAATTAATATATAGGGTGTTCCATTACAAAGAACACAACTTTGATATGTAACTTTTTTTGGGGGACACCCTGTAGAACTCCCTATATTTTGAAAAAGTGTTTCTTTGTTACCTAAAATATTTTGATAACGAGGCATTGTAAATTTATCTTTCTGTCTGATATTAACCGAGTGGGGAACAGATGGGCGTGGTGAAAATAATATTCTTAAAGCACAGGTTATTATTGGAATTTAGGACTTTAGGAACAAAACTATATTAAGGCGGGTTCTCCCTTGTTAGTCTCACCGACAAAGTTTAATTGAGCGACATTATTGACATTATTTAAAAACGTTTTGTTATTTATACTTTAATTTTCTAAGTTAAGAAAATCACCCTGTATAATAGATGCCGTACATGCATGTTGAAACTATTATAGTAAATTTGTAATCTAAAAGCTGCAAAAAGTTCTGAAAAAACTTAAATACTTTGGTAACTCATTTCGTGCTATTTTTATCCAAACTTCTTATCCATCCCCCACATCGCCTTAGCCATCTCGTCCATCCTATTTTTTTACATCAAACTAAAAAAAACTCTTCCTCCAGCCCTTCGATCATCATAAATTCAATCAAAACTGTTGTACCCCTCAATAACCGCCTCCACCGACGCCGACACACAGCCAGAACTATCCGATGCGCAGTCAACCGCCCCCGCGAACGCCAAGGGCGGCTCGGCTCCACCTTTGCCTGTGACGTCACGAGATTGCGCGCCACCCCCCTAACTGGGTCACCTCGGCGTGACCTTCTGGATACACTGCTGTGCTCGAGATCCGGCTCTACAGACTCCACAGATCCAGTCGTCCAGAGTGCTCCGTTATGGCCTCCAACACTTCCAATTACAAGCTGGCTCCGGCTACGGGACACCTCAAATTCAATGGTAAGTGATTTAATTCACTTTTGAGTAATACTATTTTTAATCCTCAGTTTTTGTACCGATCCAAAACATTTAAAATAGTCGTATAACAAAAAGATTCACCAAAATCGGTACTTGGATCAATACAAAAGACTATTAGTATTAGTTTTTGTAGATTTCTAATAGTAAGCTAGTATAAGTAGTTTTAGTTGGTTTAGATATTTTCAGAACTTGTGGAATTTTGTAAACTATAACAAAGTCACTTTAGTGTTAAAACAGTAAAAAATTGCTAAATTTATATAGTTATATTTCCGGTATTGATCGTCTTTTAGTTATAGAACAATGACGGGCAGGCGCCATTTTCAAAATGGCGTCTGATCAATGCAATGACTTTTATATGACCTTTATGACGTAACCGCAATATAATTTATGGAAGTAATGATTTTATTTTTGTTTTTTTAAGAAATACAATCTGTATAGTTGGTTCAGCGAAAGAATATATTACAGTAACAAATGTCTAAAAATGTCTGTCAGTTTAATTCAAAAGTAGATTGTATTTTCTTATTTTTTTGGGGTATCCGTAAAGCCTTGAATTCATGAATCCGACATTAATAAGTACGAATTTTACATTTTTATGCATCTATATACAGGGTGGTCCGAACTGTATTCCGGAAACTTCGGCAACATGTTCTTTAGATAAAAATAAGTAAAAAAGTTCATATAAATCTATAAGACATACATATAAATGTATGTCTCAAAATGATTACTTTCAGAGATACTGGGTGTAGAAGTTTCATTTTTATTTCAATTTTTTCTAAATAATTTCTGAAGTAACGTCAATATTTGGATGAAAATTGGTGTCTGGGAGTTTTTTGACACGAGAAATTTGATTTTGGTGTCAAGATAGCTCCTACTAGTAGAGGGCGCCACATACATGTGTTTTAACTGTTTGAAGCGTAATAACTTTTTGTCCGTACCTGTATAAAACTACCGAGCGAAAAAATATACATATCTGTGACTTTTTACGTAAAAAATATCTCTTTGTAAAAATCGCTACGAGCAACCGTTCTTAAGATATTTAGAATGGAAATAGTCAATACATGTCATTATTGACGAAAAATAAACACGTTGAGTAGTTAGTTATTTCACTGAAATAATAAATTTAGGAAAATTTTATTTTTTTAAATTAATCATAAATTTTTCTGCAAAAAATGATGATAAAACAGTTTCTGTTGAACTTTTGGCATTAAAACATTTCAAATTTATGATTTCAGTATAATAACTATTTAGTCAACATGTTAATTTATGTCAATGATGACCGGTATTGATAATTTCGATTCTAAATATCTCGAAAACCATTACTCGTAGCGATTTTTACCAAGAGACCTTTTTCACGTAAAAACCGTCGTGACGTCTTCAATCCAGTTAAAAAATATGTAGGTGGCGCCCTCTACTAGTAGGCGTCATATTGACACCAAAATCAAATTTCTCATGTCAAAAAACTCCTAGATACCAATTTTTATCCCATTATTGACGTTACTTCAGAAATTATTTGGAAAACATCGAAATAAAAATGAAACTTCTACACCCTGTATCTCCGAAAGTAAGCATTTTAGGACATACATTTATACGAACTTTTTTAATTATTTTTATCTGCAGAATATGCTGCCGAAGTTTCCGGAATACAGTTCGGACCACCCTGTATTATTATTCTGCAAATTTATTGGTTAACTCTGTGAAGCTAGCTGTAAGATTTAAAATGTCCGAAATTCGGATAATCTTTAAAACAGTTTTAACTTTTTAAACACATGAAAACAAGTCTTTTTATGGTTATTTTCTGCTAGACAGACTATATTTGAGATAGATAACAAAACATGAATTTTTTTCATAAATATAGCCAAATCTGATGTAAGCTAGTAGTTTTGAGTATATTGTGTACTTATTATGAGATCTATGACTATAGACAAATGTTTATTTTGTATACCGGGTGGTGCATCGTCGTTAGAAACATAGGAAATCCCATGCAAATTTTGAACTGTCCAAATATTGGCTCTCCTACTAATTTTGCAGCTTATAAATAAAGTCGTAATAGTTATTTAAGGATCTGCGTATATATATATATATATATATATATATATATATATATATATATATATATATATATATATATATATATATATATATATATATATATATATATATATATATATATATATATATATATATATATATATATATATATATATATATATATATATATATATATATATATATATATATATATATATATATATATATATATATATATATATATATATATATATATATATATATATATATATATATATATATATATATATATATATATATATATATATATATATATATATATATATATATATATATATATATATATATATATATATATATATATATATATATATATATATATATATATATATATATATATATATATATATATATATATATATATATATATATATATATATATATATATATATATAAAACTGAACAGGGAACAATGGAAAATCAGACAAATTGAAACATATCTTATTAAGCTGTCAACTTATTATTTCAATCACTTTGCTTGGCATTTGAACCAGTTTAAAATTATAAAAATGCATTTCGGGGACATTAACCGTAGATACTATAACGAAGTAATATAGAGATCACAACAAATTGTATTTGACAATGATAAAATCACAGGTTGACAACTTAAGGTATGTTGACATTTGACTGGTTTTGCATTGTTATCTGTTCATTTTAATTTAAAAATAGAAGATGTTTTTCTTGAATTTACTTGATATCGGATTGCTCAGAATTGTTCAAATCTGACATGCGGATTCAATATATATATATATATATATATATATATATATATATATATATATATATATATATATATATATATATATATATATATATATATCTCTATATTACTTCGTTATAGTATCTACGGTTAATGTCCCCGAAATGCATTTTTATAATTTTAAACTGGTTCAAATGCCAAGCAAAGTGATTGAAATAATAAGTTGACAGCTTAATAAGATATGTTTCAATTTGTCTGATTTTCCATTGTTCCCTGTTCAGTTTTAATTATAAAATAGATGCAGTTTTTCTTAAATTAGTTAAAAACGGCTTAACCAAAATTGTTCAAATTTGGCATGTGTATTCAGCATACCTAGACCGTTAAAAAACCTATGTACGACTTCGCTGTAAAATCCATTGGTGAGCCAATATTTGGACAGTTTAAAATTTGCATGGGATTTCCTATGTTTCATGTTCTATACGATTTTTTCTATACGATCAGCTGTTTGTTTTTATTTTTAGCTTAAGTATGTTAGCAACAATTTTAATGTCAAAATACGCCCGCTATTTGGTGTCTTTGATGCCCAGATCATATATACTTAGGTGGATAAGTAAATCACTATGGCTATGGAAACTGTCGCAAACATATCAACGACTTCCATTTATCTTCTTTCTTAATTGCACACGCGGTGCTTCTACTCTATCCTTGTCGAGAACCTATCGTCCGCGCGCCAAATTTGAACATTTATTTTAAACATTCAATTTGTAAAATGTTTATATTTGAAGAATAAATTCAATGTTTACTGTCACAAAAGTTAAATTATATAAAAAATACATTTAGCCACACCGTACGAATATCAATATTCTTAGAAAATCTAACCAGAAAGTATGCATGTGGCTTATTATAAATAAAAGAACAACTAAATACTTTACTTCCTTATGAAAAGATAATTCGGGGACCTTTGTATTAGAACTTTCACACATTAAACACTTTCTAGTCATTTTTGCGAGTAGTTAGAAACTCTAACGAAAAAAAAAATAGAAATATAATTGCACAAACTTAAAATTAACTTCTCACTGAACACACTTGCATACTTGGCTATATAAAAGCGGTCGATAAAAGAGTAATTAATACAATTTTTAAATTAAAAAACGCAAAAAACAAGCGTCATTACACAATGGAAATAAGATTATGACGTATGATTATGACAATATGATGACATTGAAAAGTTGGTTTCCATAACAATGTATAATTTGTAGGTACTTTCTAAACCGTATAAAATTGTGATTATTTTGGAAATACGTGCAACTTTTACTGCGCATGCGCAAAGTAAGGTCCTCAAGGAAGACAAACCTATTGAACGTTTCATAAGTGCAATAAAGAAGGTTTGAAAATGGCATGTCGTGATGTTGGGGACATATTTTTTAATGCTAAACTTATGGCGTTGATTTATCCACGCAAGTATATATGATCTAGGCCAATCTAGGCTTTGATGTGACAATCGATAATTTCTGTTGGAACGCTAGTTGGAACGACCTTTATATGTAATTTATTAAAAATTGTCATAAAAAATGTCAAAAATTAAGATTCAAATCAATTCAAATAGAAAAAAGTCAAATGGTTCCAGACATCTAAATCATTTACACACATATTATATATTTATTCATAAAAAATTATTTTCGAAAATTGTTTTTCAAAAAAACTAGATTAAGTCTAATTTGAATATTAGAAAAAAACTTTTAACTGTTCGCGTTAAAATTTCTTAAATGCATATAAAGGTTGGTTATCAAAAGGCTCTATAGGCTTTGTTCTTTTGAAAATCAAAGCAAGCAAAATTCTGTGCGACTCCCAAACAATAATCCAAAGGGAAACTCCAGCATTTCTCAGCTAAACTCGCTTGAGCGAATCTGTTGTTTTTCTATTACTCGTCCAAGTACCAGCATTTTAATTACAAAGTCCAGGGAGAATAAAAGAAGTACACATCGTTTTTAATTTTTGGAAACATATTTTTAACATTTGATATCTATTTGAGCATTCACTTAGTTTATTTAAAAAATACATCACATACTACATGATATTTCTAGATAAAATATAATTTTATAATTATTGTATATTTGCCAAGAAATAAATTTAAAAAAAGACTAGTCGACTTTGAATACAATATATAATTTTTTTCCGGCAGTTTGTGGACTTT